AAAGAAAGAAAGAAAGAAAGAAAGAAAGAAAGAAAGAAAGAAAGAAAGAAAGAAAGAAAGAAAAACCAAAAGCTGGATTTTTAAGAAAATCAACAAGATAGACAACCCTTAGCCAAACTAACTAAAAGGCATAAAGGCAATATCCAAATCAACAAAATCTTAAACGAAAATGGGGACATTACAACAACACTGAGGAAATCCAAAGAATCATTAAGTTGTACTTCAAGAGCCTGTATTCCACAAAATTGGAAATCTAATTGAAATGGACAGTTTTCATGATAGATTCTGCTTACCAAAGTTAAATCAAGATGAGCTAAACAGTGTAAATCGTGTATACCCCTAAGTTTAAAAAAAAAAAAAAAGTCATTAAAAGTCTCCCAAATGAAAAAAAGCCCAGGGCCAGACAGTTTTGCAGCAAAATTCTATCAGACATTCCAAGAAGAGCTATTACCAATACTCCTCAAACTATCCCACAAAATTGAAACAGAAGGAAGATTACCAAACTCATTCAATGAAGCCACAGTCACCATGATACCTAAACTGCAAAAAGTCCCAACCAAGAAAAAGAATCTCAGAGCAGTGTCCCTTATGAACATTGATGCAAAAATACTCAGTAAAATACTTACAAACTGGGGCTGGGAGAGGGCTTAGAGGTCAAGAGCACTGGCTGCAACCGCATGGTGGCTTTAACCATCTACAAGGGTATCTGATGCCCTCTTCTGACACGGAGATGTATGTGCAGACAGATGTGACTCATATTGAGAAAAATTAATAACAAATAAACACTTTAAAAAAGAATGGTTTAAAAAAATACTTTCGAACTGAATCCAAGAACATATCAAAAACATCATCTAATGTGATCAGGCAGGCTTCATCCCAGGGATGCAGAGGTAGTTCAATATACAAAAATCCATCAATGAATCCACCATATAAACAAATGGAAAGAAAAAAGAAAAGTACATGATCATCACCTTAGATGCTGAAACAGCCTTTAACAAAATCACACACTCCTTATGTTAAAAGTCTTGGAGAGGTCAGGGATTCAAGGTGCACACCTAAACACAATAAAGGTAATGTACAGCAAACCTATAGCCAACATCAAGTTAAATGGGGAGAGTTAAAGCAATCCAGTTAGAATCAGGGATAAGACCATGTTGCCCACTCTCTCCATATCTCTTCAATGTGTACTTCTTGAAGTCCTAGCTTGAGCAATAAGAAAACTAAAGGAGATCAAGGGGATACAAACTGGAAAGAAAGAATTCAAAGTATCGCTATTGACAGATTATATGATAGAATATATAAGTGAACCCAAAAATTCTACCCAAGAACTCCTACACCTGATAAACATCTTCAGCAAAGTGGCTGGATACAAAATTAATTAAAAATGATCATAGTCTTCCTGCATACAAATGATAAATGGGCTTAGAAAGAAATTAGGGAAACAGTAGCCACAAATAACATAAAATATCTTGGTGTAGCTCTAACCAAGCAAGTGAAAGACCTGGATGAGAAGAACTTTCAAGTCTTGAAGAAAGAAATTGAAGAAGATATCAGAAGACAAGAAAGATCTCCCGGATAGGTAGAATTAACATAGTAAAAATGGACATAATACCAAAAGCAATCTACAGATTCAATGCAATTCTCATCAATATACCAACACAATTATTTATTTTAATTTTTACATTAATTACAGTTTATTCACTTTGTATTCCATCTGTAGCCCACTCCCTATTTCCCTTCCAATCTCACCCTCCCTCCCTTTTCTCCTCCAATGCCCCTCTCCAAGTTCACTGATAGAGGAGGTCCTCCTCCCCTTCCTTCTGAGCCTAGCTTATCAGAACTCATCAGGACTGGCTTCATTGCCTTCCACTGTGGGACCCCTGGCCCCAGATTTTTTGGTTCTGTTACTCTCTTTATGGAGCTCCTGACCCCTCCAGGTCTTTCTCTCGCCCCCTTCTTTCCTAAGATCCCCTGCACACTGCCCAAAGTTTGGCTATGAGTCTCAGCATCTGCTTTGATACACTGCTAGGTAGAGTCTTTCAGAGTCCCTCTGTGGTAGGCTCCTGTCCTGTTCCCTGTTTTCTCTTTCTTCCAATATCCATCACATTTTCCTTTCTGAGTGAGGCTTGATCATCTTACCCAGGGTCCTTCTTCTTGATTAGCTTCTTTAGGTGTACAGATTTTAGTATGTTTATCCTATATTATATGTCTAATATCCACTTATAAGTGGGTATAAACCATGTGTGTTTTCTGCTTCTGGAATACCTCACTCAGGATGATCTTTTCTAGGCTCCACCATTTGCCTACAAATTTCATGATTTCCTTGTTTTTAATTGCTGAGTAGTATTCCATTGTGTAAAAGTACCACAGTTCTGTATCTGTTCCTCAGCTGAGCAACATCTGGGTTGTTTCCAGGTTCTGGCTATTACAAATAAAGCTGCTACAAACATGGTTGAGCAAATGTCCTTTTTGTGTACTTCAGCATCTTTTGGATATATGCTTAGGAGTGGTATAGCTGGATCTTGAGGAAGCTCTATTCCTAATTGTCTGAGAAAGCGCCAAATTGATCTCCAAAGTGGTTGTACAAGTCTACATTCCCACCAGCAGTGGAGGAGGGTTCCCCTTTCTCAACATCCTCTCCAGCATGTGTTGTCACTTGAGATTTTGATCTTACCCATTCTAGTGGCTGTAAGGTGAAATCTCAGGATCGTTTTGATTTGCATTTCCCTGATGACTAAGGACATTGAGCATTTCTTTTAAGTGTTTTCTGCCATTCGATGTTCCTCTACAGAGAATTCTCTGTTTAACTCTGTACCTCATTTTTAAACTGGGTACTTGATTTGTTGCTTTTTAACTTCTTTAGTTCTTTATATATTCTGGATGTCAGCCCTCTGTCAGAGATAGGGTTGGTGAAGATCCATTGCAGTCTGTAGGCTCTTGTTCTGTTCTGATAACAGTGTCCTTTGCTTTACAGAAGCTTTTCAGTCTCATGAGGTCCCATTTATTGATTGTTGATCTTAGAGCCTGTGCTGTTGTTGTTCTACCCAGGAAGTTGTCTCCTGTGCCAATGAGTTCTAGGTTCTTCCCCACATTTTCTTCTAACAAATTTAGTGTATCTGGTTTTATGTTGAGGGCTTTTTTTTTTTTTAATGTTTGATCCACTTAGAATTTAGTTTTGTGCAGGGTGGTAAGTATGGATCTATTTGCATTTTTCTACATGTCGACATCCACTTAGACCAGCACCACTTGTTGAAGATGCTGACTTTTTGCCATTTTGGCTTCTTTGTCAAAAATCAAGTATCTATAGGTATGTTGGTTTATTTCTGGGTCTTCTATTCAATTCTATTGATTCGCCATTCTGTTTCTAAATCAGAATCATGCAGTTTTTATTACTATTGCTCTGTAGTACAGCTTGAAATCAGGAATTGTGATACCTCCAGATGATCTGTTGTTGTGCAGGATCATTTTGGCCAACACAATTCTTTACACACTTCAAAAGAACACTTCTCAGTTTGATGTGGAAAAACAAAAAACCCAGAATAGCTAAAATAAAAGAATCTGTGGAGTTATCTCCATTCCTAATTTCAAGTTGTACTACAGAGCAATAGTAATAAAAACTCAATGGTATTAGCATAGAAACAGACTGGTTGATCAATGGAATAGAATCAAAGATCGAGAAATAAACCCACACATTTTTGGACACTTGATTTTGATGAAGAAGAAAAAAGTATACAATGAAAAAAAGAAAACATCTACAACAAATGGTGTTAGTCTAACATGTAGAAAAATGCAAATAGATCCATATTTATTACCCTGCACAAAACTCAAGTCCAAGTGGATCAAATACCTCAACATTAAATCAGATACAATAAATCTAATAGAAGAGAAAGTGGGGAATAGCCTTGAGCTCACTGGCACAGGAGACAGCTTCCTAAACCGAACACCAAAGGCTCTGGCTCTAAGATCAACAATTAATTAATGGGACTTCATGAAACTGAAAAGCTTCTGCAAAGCATAGGACACTGTCAATAGAACTAAACGGCAGACTTCAGAGTAGGAAAGGATCTTCACCAACCCTGCATTCAACAGAAGGTTATATATATCCAAAATATAGAAATAACTCGAAAACACCAACACCAACAAACTAAATAATCCAATTTAAAAATGGTGTCCAGAGCTACACTGAGAATTCCTTTTTTTAAATAATTGTTTTGTTTTTATTTTATGTGCATTGGTGTTTATCCTGAATGTATGTGAGGGTGTCAGATCCTGGAGTTAGGGACAATTGTAAGCTACCATGTGGATAATGTGAACTGAACCCAGGTCCTATGGAAGAACAATCAGTGCTCTTAACTGCTAAGCCATCTCTCCAGTCCCCTAAAACTAGCGAATTCTGTTGAATACTCTCTAAAGTCCAAGAAGAACTTACAGAAATGCTCAATGTCCTTAGTCAACAGGGAAATGCAAATCAAAACAACTCTGAAATTCCATCTTATACGGTCAGAATGGCTAAGATTAAACACTCAAGTGACAGCACATGCTATTGAGGATGTGGAGACAGGGGAACAGTACTTTAATGTTGGTGGGAGCGCATACTTGTGCAACCTCTTTGGAAATCAATCTAGTGCTTTCTCGGAAAATTGGGAACATTTCTACCTCAAGACCTAGCTATACCACTCCTTGCCATATACCCAAAAGATGCTTCACCCTAAGACATGGACATTTTCTCAACTATGTAATTAGCCTCTTTATTCCTACTAGCCAGAAACTGAAAACAACCCAGATGTCCCTCAACCAAAGAATGTATAAAGAAACTGTGGTACAGCTACACAATGGAATGCTATTCAGCCATTAAATACAAGGATATCACGACATTTGCAGGCAAATGGATGGATCTGGAAAAGATCATCCTGAGTAAATATTTTTAACCCAGACCCAGAAAAACATGCGTGGTATATACTCATAAGTGGATATTAGCCATACAATACAGGATAACCATACTACAATCCTCAGACGCAAAGAAGCTAAGTAACAAGGAGGACCCTAGGGAGGATACTTATTCTCATTCCTAACGGCAAATAGAATAGACACCATGGTTGAAAAGAGAGAACAGGATGGGAGCCCTCCATAGATGTTCTCTAAAAAAAAAAACAAAAAACAAAAACTCCACAAAATAGGGAGTTTTATGGAAGAGTTGGGGATAGAAGTACCCAGAGAGGACAGGAGCTCCACAAGAAGACCAACAGAACCAAAAATTTTGGGTCCAGGTGACCCTGTGAAGACTGATGCACCAACCAAGCATCGTGCATGGAGAGGACCCAGGCCCCTTGCTCAGGTGTAGCTGATAGTGATAGGCAGCTCAGCCTCCATGTCTCTGACATGAACTCTGTTGCCTGCTCTTTGATCACTTCCCCCAGGTGAGGTGGCCATCCCAGATCACAGAGGAAGAGGGTGTAGGCAGTCCTGATGAGTCTTTATAGTCTGGGGTCAGCTGGTAAGGAAGGAGGGTCCTCTCTTTCTGAGGACTAGGGGGTGGGACTGGGAAGAGACAAGGGATGGAGCTAAGATAAAGATGTAAAATGAATAAATTAATTTTAAAAGTCTTAGCTACAATAGAAATATACAAGAAAGAAAGAAAAAGGAAGGAAGGAAGGAAGGAAGGGAGGGAGGGAGGGAGGGAGGAAGGAAGGAAGGAAGGAAGGAAGGAAGGAAGGAAGGAAGGAAGGAAGGAAGGAAGGAAGGAAAAGAGAATGATCATGTGGCCAATGTTGGGTACCTGTCTCAGTCCCAGAACTCTGGCAGTCATTTCTAGTGGATTTCTGAGTGTGAGGTTTATAATTGTCTACACAACATTCCAGGGTAGCCAGGGCATCAAGCAAGACTATGGTAAGAAAAAAAAAAAAGCAGGTGTCAGGATAAATAGGACATTGTGGGGAAATGGGATGCCTGTATATACTTAACATGAAATATCAAAAAACTAACCAAACTCTTCCAGTTCTCTGACGCTGGAATCAGTAACACATTTGTACTTGTGAGCATGATTGACTAAGAGAGATTTCTGGGGCTGAAGAGATGGCTAACAGCTTAAGAGCACTGGCTGTTCTTCCAAAGGTCCTGAGTTTAATTCCCAGCAACCACATGGTGGCTCATAACCATCCATAGTGAGATCTAGTGCCCTCTTCTGGTGGGCATGCACACATTCAGGTAGAACACTGTAAATAATAAATAAATGTTTAAAAAATAGATAGCTTCTTATATAAAAAAAGGAGAGAGAGATTTCTGTGTCTTTGTGTGGAAGTTGTATGTGTATAAACACAATTGATTAAACCATAGACTTAGGATTTACATACCTTATGTACAGAAATATTGGTGCCAATCTTTTAAAGAGAGCACTCTCAGGCTTCCTGTCTTTCCAAAAGGGCTTCTTGGCCTTTGCTTAGGAATAGCAGTCCTACTAAACACACAGCTTGACTCTGCTGCAATTCCTTCTTCACAGGGGAAGCTGCAGGCAGCTCTGCAGACACTGAAGGCGAAAGAAAAAACATGTGATGAATGGCAAGATGACCTCCAACAGGAGAGAACTTACTGGGAGGCAAGTGGGGACCATCCCTAAGGAAGTTAGCCTGATGCCTGGGAAGGACCTGGGCAAGAAGCCCCTGGCTCTTTATTCCCTGGTATCTGAGGAGCCAAGAGGCCTTGATTGGTCCTCCCTCTGGGTTCCCTTGGAGTAGGAGCTAGAGCTGCAGAGTGAGTGCATCACAGCTGAGCCTGGCTATGTGAGGAGCTGACACCATGGGGACGTGGTGAGAATGGCTCCCAGGTCTTACTCCTAGGGGGCCTTCTGAAACTATGTGTTGGGGAAGATGCCAGAGAACGGGGCACAGTTCTATTCTTGGGGTTTCGCTTCTCTCAGGGGGGTTCATTGGTGGAATGCGGAGTATTGAAGGCAGGAACAAGTGTCTCGGGCATCTGTGGAAAAACTGAGCCACACCCAGGCATCCTGCTTTGGCTCAGGTGACCTTGGTGAAGGTGACCTACGATTTTTGTTTTGGAATGTCCTAAATAGACATTAAGAGGATACAGACACTCCTATAAGATTCCCTTTCTTTCCCATGCTCAATTCCCTGTGAAAACTCCCCAACTAGAAAAGTGGTTTTTTTTCCTTATCACAGTCCCATTTGAACTGAATCCCTCTCCCTTTTCTTAACCCTGAAGGATCAAATACAGAGTGATGTAGACAGTGTTCAGGTGGAATTTGAAGCACTGAGAGTTGTCCTGGCCTCCAAGGAGAATGAAGAGCTGCAGAAGCTGATGAAAGAAAAGGAAGGTATTTTGCAAAGGCTGGAGAAGTCTGAAAATGAGCTCTTCAGGCAGAGGGACTCAGTGAGAGACTGCATCTCAGATGTGGAACATCATTTGGAGAGCTCAACCATGGAAATGCTGCAGGTAAGACTGCAGGAGGTCCCAGTGTCTGAGAGTCAGGAGACATGGAAGCCCTTGACCTCCCTCCCTGCTGCTGTGACCTTCCTGGTGATGATAGTGGGGCTCTTCCTGACCCCTTTCCTGAATCAGGTACAGAGACTGGGGGAATCACTGTGTGCATAAATATCGAAGGGAAATTGCATTTTATTAGCTTACCAAGTGCAGTGCAGAAGCTGAGCCTTGGAAGGAAGATCAGCAGAACTTGGGTCATGGGTGGTAATGCTGAGCATGTGTGAACTGCATGTCAGCTGTCAGGTTAGCCACGTCTCCAGGACTGAAGTGAGCAGAGATCGTTTCTCTCTCTGATGATTGGAGACTTTGACCTCCACTGCCCCTAACTCCACTGAGTTGGCGGTGAAGGCTGGTGGCCGGTTACCATCCAGGAACTTCCAGAGTTTTCCCCGCCTCTGTCTCCCAGTGGCTGATGTGGAAGGTGACTTCCTTATCTATAGGGGTATAAAGCTGGTAGTGTAATTTATCTCTGTCACATTCTAAAATAATGTATAGCACAGTCATCTCCTGGTGTTGAAAATCTCTGTAGGGATTTGTTTCTTTTAGCTGAATTGTCAATCTTGTAGGCCTTGGTGTTTCTAGGGTTTCTCCATACTACTTTAATTTTGACATTTCCATTGAGTTAATTTAATTGTAATTGAAAATATTCATTTAGAATTATGCATCTATCTAAAATGAAATAGTTCACAAGATACTAATTACAGCCACCACTTTACAATTCTGAAATTTTATGTCTTGACTAATAAATCTACCTATTTTCTCTTCGTCCAGCCCCTGATAACTACAGTTCTAATCTTTGTTGCTTTTAACAAACTATCAGAGATTTGATTTTACCAGTAAAGACTCAAGAAACAAATGGGGGGTGAAAGCCTGCTAGCTCAGAGAGGCAGAAAAAACACCCAGCCCACTCTTCTTCAGCTGACATCCCCAAAGGAGGAAGTGTCCTCACACCAGCTCACAAAACACCTCAGATTGAATGTCCCTCTGTTACTTCTCTTTATCTCCTGACTCCTCTTGCTCTTTGTGGTGTTTTCCTATGTTCACTCCCTGTCAGCTGGTTGTTTGCTCTGACTTCTGAGGTTGATTTATTTAATTTAAGCAGAAAACTCTTGGACTTGGATTAAATGTGTGTGCTAGGACTGAGCCAAACCACAACTAGAAACAGGTTTTTCCAGTAAACAACACAATCTCAGGGTTCACAGTGTGGTCAAATATACAACAACATATCATTACTTAAATAATATCATTTAGTGGTTTTTCTTTTCTGGTCCCAGTTGGTTTAGTATAATAAAAATTCTCTAAGATCAGGCAAGTTACCACAAATGACAATGTATTGTGCTTTTAACTGTTTTTTGTTTGTTTGTTTGTTTGTTTGTTTGTTTTGCTTTGTTTTATTTTTGTTTGGTTTGGTTTTGCTTTTTTGAGACAAGGTTTCTCTTTATAACTTTGGCTGTCCCGGTGGCCCCAGACTCACAGAGATCCACCAGCCTCTGCCTCCAAAAGCGCTGGGATTACAGGTGTGCACCACTGTGTCCAGAACATTTAAATGCTTAGTAATTATATGTGTGTGTGTGTGTGTGTGTGTGTGTGTGTGTGTGTGTGTGTGTGTGTGTATTATATCATTTTTATCCATTCATGTGTTGATTTCTCTGGCTGATTCTCTATTTTTTTCTACTATGATAATGATTCAACAAAACCCAAACATTGAAGAATTCTTGCACAGCCTTAGGTCTCTAAGTCAAGAAAAATGCCTAACTGAGGTTCCTATTTAGCATATCAAAGTGTTCCTGGTGAGTCCAGTCTTGATATCTGTCCTCAATAAGCCCATATAAAAGAGACAAATTAATATTGCAAAGCAGAAAAATTAGATCTCTTAAATGTGGCCACAACTGGAAGAATGATAAAGCAATTAAAAAAATAAATAAAATAAAAACCTTTTTCTGTCCCTCTTCAGGTTCCCAAAGTTAGACCAAAGTTTAGACCTAGAGCCAAGAATATGCACAAATGAGTAGTCCAGCCCAAGGTGTGGGCCTGTCCTTCATTCTCCATCATGATCTGGGTTCCAGCCCAAGGTGGACCTGTCCTTCATTCTCCATCATGATCTGGGTTACGATGTCATGCTCTAAGGTTCTGACAAGTAATTAAAACTGTGTGAAATCCTTTGCAGAGACCAGCTCTTCCTCTGGCTAGAGCTGTTTGTCTTCTCTGCTCTGAGATCATGGAGAAATTATTATTTCTTTTGGGTCATTCTTTTGACAGTTTGATAGTCAAATTGAGAGTCTCAGATATCTCTTTACAGTAACTTCTTTCTTGCCAGGTCAATTACAGAGAGAGAGAGAAAGAAGAAGGAATGATGAAGGGCTGGGGTGGGAGAGATCTGGTTAGTTGGTTTTAATGTCAGACATCCTAACCTTCTTGGTCCTTTCGGCTTCCTCATTACTAATGTATTAAATAGTGCTTAAATGACTAAAATGATTTGGAAATCATCTTCTCATACATTTGAGTAGAAGTAAGCTAATGGAAAAGTAACATATAGCATGAGAACAGTCGTGTGTTTATGTGTGTAACTGTGTGCACAGTAAAACTCATGTAGGCTTTCAAACTACAGTTTCTTCATCATTGTCTCCAATGACTGGAAGGGTGAGTCAGAAAAAATAGTCTGTTAACTTATTTAGGGGTCAAATAAAGAGTCATACATCTTTATATCATGTCTCAGAGGACTGAGAGTGATTGACGTGATTCTCCTTTAACTTTGTCTCTGTGGCCAGTGAGAGTGTGATCAGGATTTGAAAGAACATGTCATTAACTGTGTTTTCTCTCTTCTCTCTAGGGTGTGAATTGTGTCCTAAAAAGGTATGTCTGGGCTGATGGGGAAGGACTGCCCTATTGTTTGGTAGGAATTATTGTTATTCAGCTAGAATATCTCTGCAGTTTGAGGTAACTCAGACATCATGGTAAGAGGGAGGAGGGGAGGGGAAAGACTCTGTAACTCTTGAGAACAGATGAAATTCTCCTTTAGGGGACTGGGTTATGGGGAGTTACAGAGCTAGGCTCAATGGCGGGATGAGGCAAATGGAGCTAAGAAGCTTTCAGACCCCTTGTGGCTCCATCATTCTGTCCACGCTGTATGCTTGAATCTAGCTCTGTGTCAGCAGTTACCCTGTGCTTCATTCATCGATTCCTCATCGGTGTGTCTGTCCTCTGTGTCTGCAGTATTTGCGTAACTGCAAATATTGGGCAATATTCCTGTGTGTTTATAGATTTCTCATTGACCTAGAAGAGGTCCAGAGTTCTTTTGTGGTTGGGCTGAGATTTTTAGAAAAGAGACTTGAGCCTTGAGCACAATATTTTGTCACAGGTGAACCAGCTACTTCAGGTGGATCATATAGCTCAGAAGACTGTGGAAAGCCTCACCCATGTGTACAAAGTGTCACCCCAAGCTGTCAGCGTCAGGCTCATTCCTAATGTATGGAGCTTATATCAGCATTAGCTTGCTGTTCCTCTTTTCTTTTTTAAATTTTGTCATCTTAATAAAAGAACTTGAAGAATCAGGCACTAGTTGACATTGTCCATACTGAAAAGGGGTTTGAAGTCTTGGCTTTCTTCAGGTGGCTTTCCCATACTCTATGGCTCTACTACACCTGTCCTTGAAAACCCACCTTTATCTATTTATTTATTTATTTATTTATTTATTTATTTATTTATTTATTTATTTTTCATTCTTTCTGTTTGTTTAGTTATTATGTGTGTGTGTGTGTGTGTGTGTGTGTGTGTGTGTGTGTGTGTGTGT